CAGGAGATGTGAAGCCTCTACAAAGGACCGTCATGTAACAGGGGATTTGTGTTACAGTCAACTGTATTCACAAATAGTCGTTTAAAGCGAGAGAGCCCGTCTTTTGACCTCCCCAAATAATGTTTCGATCTCCATCTTGTCTACTATTCAAAATACCATGGTTACGTGAAACAGCAGTGGACATGATAACATGAGAATGAATCACTCACAGTATTTGCAGACTCTGGCTTTCAGTTATTTCTGTAAACAACTGTCCAATTTAAACTATATATAATCGATAATTTGGTATTTATTATCATTTGTCAGGTCAAAAGATACTGGTTGAAGAAAGACAGTTCACTCAAGGTGGTTATGGAAAAATGGGTAGGGAAGATGTTGCAAAGTTCATGCTATCAGCTTTGAAGACAGATGAATATCACAGAAAGGGCATCGCAATAGATGTAGCCAAGTGATTCTAACAATGATATACTTAATGTGCCACGATATTACAAATGAGTGTGACGTCATCATCCCTGATTGACCAATTTTATAGCGGCCATGTACTTCAGAGTCACAAGTGAGTGATAAGCTATACAGGGAGTTGCGGGGGCAGTTTCTCAGATGCAGACAAGTTTCTAGTATGAAACAAATCCCAATTGCTTTGTATGTAAATGATCCAGCAATTCAGGTTTAATAAAATGGTTATTATTTACAATAACAGGCAATGTGCTCTTGTTTATTTCAAATTTAAAGTTGTCATCAATTCTGTTGGTGAAATCCCATGCATGCATGTAGAAGACAATAGAAAATTCTCGGCATACACAAATGCACATAACATAACAATATAAATAAATATTTGTTGTTGTATACTCTCAGATTTTGTGCATGTTTTCAAAACACTACGAACTTTCTTATACAGTAGTGGCAAATCTGAGTGTAATCTCTGAAGTACAGTAAATGTAATTTCTGAAATGCATATTACCACCAGTGTGACCTAGGTGATCCCTAGTATGTCTTAAAGCATGTAGTAAAGCTTCATGGATCTACAAGCTGTATATGATAAATGAAATGTTTCTATTACTGTAGCGTGAAGGTAAAATCGTACAGATGTCTGTCCGTCTGTATATGTGTCTGTGTACAATTTTGTTCTGCTGATATCTCAACTACTGGCTGTCCATGAACACCAGACTTCATATGCATATTAATTAACCAAATTTAAGCATTTTCATTTGTTTCTCGTGTACTATTCAACAGATTTCAATGAAACTTGGTACATAAATGCTCTGGGATAATGCGCAAACCTCATTCACAATTCTAATTAAGTATTTCAATGTAAAATGTTATAGATTGGATGTATTTTAGTTTTCTCTCACTATTAAAATGAGAATTTTGTTTCTGTTTGAGCTTAACGCCATGGACAGGCAGAGACACAAATTTCACATTTTGCAATAACTCGCTTTTGTGACTTTTTCATCTATTATATTACCTTGCCCATATGTGTATACAATTTTGTGTACCCCCCTCGATATTTTGGTGAAAGTCAGTTGATGAGCATTTGGGGGGGTGATCAGAGGTTCAGTAGTGAATGACTTATTTGTTCATCACATTATAATGCTGGATAATGCTTTTAAGTTTCAATCCATGCAAAGTGTTAGAATAGATTGTATAAACAAAGCATGACATGTCATAGCCCCCGCTCAGAAAAAAATTTAAAAACTTATATTGAACTGGGTTTGTGTCAGAGTGAATTAATTCATTATGAGCTGTATTAAAATTCCGTTATTAATTGTTCAGAATTGATGTGTTACAATTTTAGGGGGTGGGGTAAAAATATATTCATTTGGCTTTTCTGAGACAATTTATAACTTGTTAAACATATAATG